TCGTCCATTTCTAGACTTTGGCTTTGTCCCAAGGCCTGAATTTTGCACGTGTATTGGTTTTACAGTCGGCTCTGTGGCTAAGTCGATGCGAACGCTTCATAATGCCGTCTGCCGGGTTCGATCCCAGCTGCGGGCCATGCGCCTTGCATTGGTTTCGACAGTGGTATCAAGAAAACCGGCCGTCCAGAAAGCAATGGCAAACTACTGGACGTAAATTTGCCCAGATAAACCACACAACAGCCAGGGGCTGTTGGGGTTGGTTCTGCAACGTCCTGTAAAGGATACGCAACTAACCTTTGGTTTTACAGGCAGCGCTTATTTGTATGCAAACTGTTGCATCAGACAGATTCCCTCCAATTAGTCGAGACTCTTACGACATGCTTGTTAGGTAGGCAGTGGGTCTATTCTTGTTTTCCCTACAATGGTACTCCAGGACCCACACGGGGAAAGTTGCTCTAATGCGACGTTAGGTATACCAAAGTAAAGTATACTATTCTGTGTTTCCCTTCAGGCCAAGGTAACGCCCAAGCGAAACCCGGGAATATCAAATATAAATAAATACCCGGCTTGGCTGCGTCATCAGTCGGTACCTACTGACCATTGTTGTGATCAAAGGTTAGCTTCCCTCCAAGACACAGCCACGCCACATCTCACAGACCCGACTGCCCTCGACAAAGCCTCACCCAGGCATGACTGGCTCACGTAGACATGTCGGTCGCCAGTCCTATTTGAATTTGATTAATAAGTCAACGCTATCTGGCGGCGATCGAGTTTCGATTTCAATGGAGTAACGTTTGCTTGTGACCTGGGGCGGATTCCTGGAGCGGTCAGTTTTGCTGACCACACGTAGTTGTTATATTTGTGGGAGTAATGACAAAGTTTGTATGTTTGAAAGCTAGTCAGTGATGTGGTACATACTTTGTAATACTAAATATAAAGAAACTGGGACTTTAAAGCTCACTGTAAGGAATGAAAAAACACATACAAATACAGCCGAACGTTTTGACCAAAGTCTTTATCAGCGAAATATTAAATGAAGCACAGGCTGTAACTAGAAAACTTGCCGGACAAGACACTAGAACTTATGAACTGAACAACATAATAACGTGCTGGCTATGATACAGACCACATCAGGCGGCACCGTCAAGGGGTGGCGTAGCAGCGAAATCAAAACACAATTTGAGCTTTTGATGTGGCAACGCGAAGCTATTAGGGACAGCGTTTCGAAGACTTGCATCAAACTGAGCAAATCAGCGGCACGGGACTGTGGCAGGGAGAGTAGAGTGATTACACATGACGACAAACGAAAACCTAGGACACAAGCAATTAATATGAACTTCTTCTTTCTTGTCCCATTTACCGGCTGGAAAGTTCGGTGGAAAGTTCTGCTTGTGTCGTATACTTATACGTTGGTTTTGTTCCAAGACTTGAGTGTTACCTGCGTATCCGTTTTACAAATCTGGTTTATTTGTGCGCCCACTGTTGGTTCCTTGCCTTCAGGCAGATGCATTCCGACCAGGAAGGAAACATCGATTCTCTCTAATGTTGGCTAGCCTCAAAATTGGGAACCCGTTTCTAGTGTTATCCCCCTGCCTCAAAAATGATTACAGATCATGGGTTTCAAGCCTAACCGCCAGGCTCCATGGGCAGCTGTAGACGGGTCGTGACCACTTAGAGCCCTAAACCTTACCGGCCTCCACATGAGGTTCAAAATTTTTCCATCTACGTGTACACATAAAGTGATGACGTCAATAGGACTGTCTGCAATTGATCTGCTATCAAGAAACAATACATAACTTTCTATTAGACTGATACACAACAACAACAAAATACAGTAGCGATAAAATGATACAAATTCATCCAAACGAAAATAGTAAAAAAAAAAAAATTGCTAATTGCAGTTGGGAAAATTGTGGTTATTTTAGCGAGTAACAAGTCGGGAAGCATCGGTTATTGTATCATGTAACAATTAGAAAGGTATGAGACATTGTGTGTATGTATGTATATACATATTTTTTTTATATGTGTATATATGTGTGTGTGTATGTGTGTATTTACTGTATAAATATCGGTTACTCTAAAAGGTGACAATTGTGGAAAATGTCGGCTACTGTAGCAGGTAACAACTGTAGAAAATGTCGGCTACTGTAGCATGTAACAACTGGGACAATGTCGGCTAATGTTGCATGTAACAACTGGGACAATGTCGGCTAATGTAGCAAGTAACAGCTGAGGAAAATGTTGGCTACTGTAGGATGTAACGGAGGTAACAACTGGGAAAATGTCGGCTAATGTAGCATGTAACAACTGGGAAAATGTCGGTAACTGTAGCGTGGAACAACTAGAAAAATGTCGGCTATTGTAGCAGGTAACAACTGTAGAAAATGTCGGCTGCTGTAGCAGGTAACATTTTGGAAAATGTCATATACTGTAGCTTGTAACAAATGGGGAAAATGGCGGCTACTGTAGCATGTAACAGCTGGAAAAAATGTCGGCTAATGTAGAAGGTAAAAATTGGGGAAAATTTCAGTTATTGTAGCAATTAACAACTGGCAAAATACAGGTTAGTGTAGCAGGTAACAATTCGGAAAAATACTGGTTACTCAAAAAGGTAACAATTCGGGAAAATGTCGGCTACTGTAGCATGTAACAACTGGGGAAAATGTTGGCTATTGTAGCATGTAACAGAGGCACCTTCAGGTCAGTAGAACTATTTTTATTTACCTGCGACACCCCCGCACTTTTTTCCCACCTCCCAAACCTCTTTTTTCCCAACCCTAGACAATTTGCAAGGTTTTATTGGCATTCCTCTGTTTTATCTTCTTCTTCCATCTCGACCTCAAAGCTGGCATATAGGTGCTTCATCATGCTTTACTCCTATGTCACGCAATCGTGTTAGTGTCAGAGATTCATCGTTATCCACTAGCCCAGTTCGTAGAGCGTTGACCACATCTGCTCTGTCCATACTTCTCCCCACATGGTTTGGTGGATTGCTTGCCAGTTGGTCCGCTAGCTCATTACAATTTATGCTAGCATGACTAGGTGTGTAGATCCAGGTGAGGGAGGTTAAGTGCAATTTTTGAATGATTGTTACCCATTCAGAACGCATACCGCCTGTTGCTATTTTCTCAGTCATTTTAATAAAGTTTTGTCAGGCTTACGTGTATTGAGCCGCTCCCCCTACCCAGTCAGAAAATTGTTAGGGGCTGTAGGGTCCCCATACGCACGCCCCTCCCCATTATTTTCTTGGTATCAGCGACCCTCGATTAGTTTGAGAGGAGAAAAAAAAAGCGGTTAACACGCCAAACGTGCCTTCTTCATTTGTTGGGGGTAAGCTCAAATGCCCCTATTTTTGCATTCCTCTGTTGTCTGGTCTAAATAGTATCTATATCATTCTAATGTCTTCTTTGATTGCCAATAAACATCCGTCATTGAATGTCTTCAGTTAATAGGTTGAAGAGCTCCTTTCCTGTCAATCAGCTTTCAGTAATTTATTAATAAATGTAAAACACAAATACTTTAACTGATAAGTAGGTGGACACAAGTGAACATACAATGTGTGGGTTAATTTAAAAGTTATGGGATTGGGGTGGGGTGTGGGTGGGGGGTGGGGGGGGGGGGGGGCTGTGAGGACACACAGACATAGAGGGAGAAAGAGACTAGATAATATTTTGAGTAGATCTGTTATATAAATATGTTGTTATGCGCACACATAGACAGGCTAAGAGTTTGTGTGTATGTATGCATGCATGCATGTATGTATGTATGTATGTATGTATGTATGTATGTATGTATGTATGTATGTATGTATGTATGTATGTATGTATGTATGTATGTATGTATGTATGTATGTATGTATGTATGTATGTATGTATGTATGTATGTATGTATGTATGTATGTATGTATGTATTATGTATGTATATATGTATGTATGTATGTATGTATGTATGTATGTATGTATGTATGTATGTATGTATGTATGTATGTATGTATGTATGTATGTATGTATGTATGTATGTATGTATGTATGTATGTATGTATGTATGTATGTATGTATGTATGTATGTATGTATGTATGTATGTATGCATGTATGTATGTATGTAATCAATGTACGTAAGCAAGGCAGACAAGTTGGGTTTTCAAGTATATGTTAAACGTTCAAAGGCCCTTTCTGGACTTGAATTAATGATTTACTAACTATCCGGTTGCGGACTGAGACCCGGGTACAAATCATCAGTAAGAGAATAGACATTTTAGTCTGGGGCAATCAAACATCCTAACTTGCACAGTTAGTGGCGAGTGCACTAGCCGGGCAGCCCCTAAACCTCCAGCTTTAGACCTGTCATACCACCACAACAGTTGTAAATACAGACAGTAATGAGTTTTATGAAATGTAAAATGCCTTCGAATTATACTCACATGCACTAGAAAAACATTCAAACAATAGCCCTTTCTTGTCAATGTTTCCGTTTTGTTGTGACGTGCATTGAATGTACCTAAACACAATCAATATAATCAATGATTAATCGATTGAGATATTTTCTTACAGGCGCAGCCAGCGCACGAGACCGTGACCTTGTTGATTATTCTCCGCCACCAAGCGTGTAGAGGCGGGCACGGCGGTCCTTTCACAGCATGATTGTCACTTTCTTCACTCAACCGCCAACGACGAATCCCAGTACATCTCCACCAATAAGCGATCGACAGCCAAGCGTAAGCCCCGCCTACATATCTTCATTTCGTGGACGTGATAGGTCGCAAGGAAGTAGCGAGCGGGTGGCGAAGTGATTTATGCAGCTGTTCTTGGACGAGTTGGTAAACATATGTAAGGCTGTCGAGTCGTTAGTTTCACACAATCAGGGTAGTCTGTGAACCACTGGAGTGGCTTTTACCTAGTCACCGCTAAGATATTGTGATTTCGTGTCTTGTGAAAGATCTGTGTCCGAATTTTGTGCTTTTTTTTTCACCCTAGTGGCTTCTTTACTGGTGATGGTGTCCATGATAAATTCTACAACGAAGTGTGAGTTTCAAGACGGTCGTGAGGGCAGCGTAGACTTTCACCACGCAATGGCTTCTTTACCTTCTATGGACATTAATCACCTCCTCAGCGCAGTCGATCAGGATTTACATCAACAACAACCTCAACAACAGCAAAATGATAACAAACATGGCAATAACGCAAACGATAACAATCCAGAGCGACATCTGAATGTTGTGCTCGAAGACCGGGAATTATGGGAGAAATTCAAGGAGTTTACAAACGAGATGATTGTCACAAAGAACGGAAGGTAAGTTGACAATTTTCGTTCGTGTTCTTGTCTTGTTTTCAAATGTAAGCTATTCGTACTGGGCCGCTGCAACTTTCCAATCGTCCGATCCGATAAGAGAATGTATATGGAGTGACCATAAATTGATTTAACAAAATAAAATGAAGGTGATAATTGTATTATTAACATTACTATTGTTTTATGTGTTTACTTATGTTGATTGCCTCTCAACAGTTTAGTAAAACGTCGACTACTAAAATACAAATCCTAACATGCATAGCTCGGTAAAAATAAAGGACCGTTTTTTTACGCCTTCAGGAGTATAGGGCATAGAGTATAGACCTTTACTGCAAAGTCAAATCGGCAAGTGATGTGATCAACACCACAACGGCCGTCTTTACTTCCCAGGGTTTCACCTGGGACAGCCTGTGTCAACCTGGAGCCAAGACCATATTTTCAAGACCAAAAAAAAAAAAAAAAAATGCCTAGATCTGTTGGGATTCGAAGCCATGATTTTGGAATCCCCCAAGCGAGCACAGCGCATCACCCTATAGGTGATAGATACAAGTAGTAGTTTGTTTGCCAAAACTATCAATCACTTCGTTTATTTCGTTCGTTCGCTTCAAAGAGGTCGTCCGTATCTGCTATGTCGTACTTTGCTGGAAGTTTACTGTCTCTTTAGGCCCACACATGTCTTCCGCAGCGTGACTCTCGTACTTCTTTCTAAAAACGCGAGGCTTAAACAGAAACCTTCACCACTATATCCGAACTCTGGTATTTAATGAACATGGAGAAAATTAAGGTTAGAAATAAACTTCAGTAAATTGCAGAGTATAATTCGACCTCAAGATGCTTAGCTCCAAATGTGGCCTGTACCCAACTAAATCATTGTATACTCGTCATATAAGTCGACACCTAATTTTAGGAAGAGTTTTTAGGCTTAAAAACTTAACTCTCAAGTGTGTCTGCAATTATACGCAGTTATATCTAGTAATCTTAGTTTCTGCTTCATAGCAAACTGGTCACTCAATGGTTGCTTTTGTGCCAACGAAAAACACAATGTTTATGACAGTCCTTTGTGGAAAGATTGACAGACTTTTGTCTCAGCATATGCACATACACATTAAAAGCATACAGTAGCCATCCGAAGTGCTAACACAAACAGTCCGACATTGGAAATGCAGTTCCTCATTGATGGTAGCACTAGTGGCTAGCAGAAGTCACCAACAGATCAGCAGTTTTACACGCGATCAATACCCAGTTATTTCCAACCTGTATGCTCGACATCAATATTAGCAAACACATGTAAGTTGTATGTGTGAATGATTGGTTGTAATTCAAGTTTTCTGTTGCATAACACTCTTCTCCCCGGGTGATGACACTTCAGAATATCTGACGAGTATAGTAACTATGCCATAGGAATGATAGTGATACAATAACAACGATTATAGGAATGATAGTGATAACAATAACAACGATTATAGGAATGATAGTGATAACAATAGCAACGATGATAATAATCCTAGCTCGCAGACTGAGTTCTTGGATATTTTGATATCTCAGGGAATGCACACGTGTCCACCTTCTCCTGCATAAGAAAACACAGTAATAATAATAATAATAATAATAATAATAATACAAAAAATAATAAACACACAGATTTAATAATTATAGTAAATAATATTTGGTAATAATAATATTTAGTAATCATAGTGATAGTGTATAATAATCATAGCATTTAGTAGTGAAAAATAGATTATAAAATAAATATATAATATATAAATTAGCAATACATTTGATTGAAATTAATAGTTTGAAATTAATATAGCTGTTATTGTCATTGACTACTTCTAGAGTCACAAACTAGTGTGCACGATTGCTTGATCAAACAGTTTATTTAGTTCAATACCCATAATAATCTTTCTCCACCAGTGTAGGTCTGGGAACTGTCCCTCTCATAAAAATTGTTACCAGAGCAATTTTATATTTTTGTGAGGGAGAAATGACAGGAGAAAGAAATCAACTAGGAAAGGAAGTGGGGGGAGATGGGTTATGGTCGCCTGGTATATGCGACCAAAAATACCCCATGTACCATCTTTTTATAAGCTTTTCTTAAGTTCGCTTTTGTTTTTCTAATAAACATCCGTTTAAAATTAGAGGAAATATTTAATTGTATAAAACTTTTACATTACCCGTGTCATATTTTGAGCTTTAATAAAAGCAGTTTGAGAAAGGGAAAATCATATGGTTCGGTCATCTCGATAGAATGCGATCACAGTAACTAAGTCCGGCTCTACATCTACGATCTTCTTCCTCTTAGCGTTGACCGACCGTAAACTCCGGCGGAAGGTTCTGGTTGTTCGTTCACTTCTGGACTTTTGTCTTATTCCAGAACATTTCTCGTGCGCATCCGTTTTACAGATCTAACCTATTTGTATGTAGACTGTTAGTTTCTGGTCTCTGAGGCCTATGCACTCCGACGTCTCCTGTCCCAACTACCTGTGTCAGCAACTACCAACCACAGAAATAACGATATACCGTATATTTTTTTAATGGTCCAAAAGAAAAAAAAATATCAATTTAAAAAAAAAAGTTTCTGTGGCGGGCGAACGGATTTATGGGAGTAAATAAGAAAAGTTGTTTCCGCTCGCAAAAATTTCCGTTCGTGAACCGAGTCAAAGAACGAAATAAGTGCGTGGTACGATGATACGAAGCACCACTGTCTTGTAACTTAGGCAGACTTGAACACAACATCACACATGTCTAAAGACAGAAATAATACACGGACAGGGAGGTCAGGCCAGTGTGTAGTGTGTAAAATCGGGAATTTCTGTTGAGGCATTCATTAAACGCCTTTCTGCACAGAACCGCTTATACATGTAGACTCCCTGAGCAAGTGTTTGTGCAAAATATATTATTTCATTGACATTTCTTTACAGAAAACTTTGAGGAAATTCATTTTATTATCAGGTCAGATCGCAAAATAAAAAAAAATTAATTATTTATTATAAATATACACTCCGTAGAAAAGTGATCAAATGTTTATAAAGAAACTAAATAAAAGTAAATTAGACTAATTTATGAGTTGGTAAATAGAAAATTACTCAAGTTATTTAAGAGTTACGTACATCAATAATTAATTGAGGTAATAGAGTTGGGTATATATACAATTATTTAACTGATATGAGGCTACGAATGAGGGAATCAATAATCTCTGATAGATAGTTCAGTTAAACGAATTGTTGAGTTGACTGAAGAACCGATATCATAGCTCTCGGGCCATTGATAACTAGTTGAAGAAATGAAATTTATAGATTTTATGTGTGAAACTTCCCATAAAGGTGATCTGAAGGAATCTGTAAACTATAGAGGAATTAATGTTGCTGCCAGTTCCTGGGAAAATGTAGGATTTTTTAGGAGACTAAAAGATGATATTGATAAAAAGATAAAAGATTAACAGGCAGGTTTTTCGGCCAAATAGATACTGTACTGACCAGATAGCCACATTACGTATATTGATAGAGCAAATCATTGAATTGAATTCACCACTTCAAATTGTATACGTAGACTATGAACTTTTCTGGGGAATCTCGCTGGAAAATAATGGGACACTATGGAATCCCGTAGAAAATTATTAACTTAGTAAAGGCATCACACAAAGACATAAAATGTCGAGTTATTCATAAGCGAAAGTTAACATACATTTGAAATAGAAACAGGTGTGCAACAGGGATGTCTTTTGTCGGCTCTCTTATTTCTACTGGCCTTGGACTGAATTATGAAGACAGCAACTATTAACACCAGGAATGCGATTCGGTGGACCCCTACATAATGGCTTGATAATCTGGACTTCGCTGATATTTATTTTCTATCCCACTTAATGAATCCGATGGAAGATAATTTCAATATACTGAGGCCAAATCACAACAGCTTGGTACGAAAGACAAAGATAATGAGAATAGGTGAAAGACAAAGATTATAAGAATAGGGTAAAGACACAGATAATGAGAATAGGCGAAAGTTAATGAGAATAGGCGAAAGACAAAGATAATGAGAAGAAATCAGTCAAATAATAATCTAAAATCTCTTGGTAGTATCCAACTTCAGGATGTAGAGTCATACATCTATTTGCGCACTACTGTACATAAAGAAGAAGGAATAGATAGAGCTTATGAAAGACGAATACAATATGCAATTTGAGCTTTCGTAGTACTATAAAATTTGCGGAGATTAAAATAAATTAAAAGTAATAGTAAACTAAAACACGTTTAATTCTAACGTCAAATGTCAAATCAGTACTGTTATATGGGGTGTTTAGGAGAGGGGACGGTGGTGGGGGGGGGGGGGGGTATGATTTTTACTGTTGATTTATTGCCCCACAAGGAGATACACTCCGATTGTGGAGGAAACACTTCCAATTAGTTGCCTATTTTTCTTTGTTGTTCAAAATCGTACCCCCGAACTCACACCTGGAGCTGTTTACTCATAATTTTGAAGACCTATGCCTAATATGTATTCTGGGGTCATCCTCTGGTATTGCCCTATAGATGGCAATCAATACCTAACTACTTATTCATTAATCAGTCACTGTATGCAGTACCCACAGGTCCACTATTAACGCCACTCTAGGACACAGTGCGAGGTCATTGGTGTCTCTGATCGATTTCCGGTGGATTCGTCACTTTCGGCCTGCATCCCCGATGGGGGAGCTTTAGGTTATAATTGTGACTAGGCTATGTGCGCCATATAACATGGATCAGCATTGCATGCCGCCAAGAGCCGTGGAAATGACTCTTGCAGAGTTGTTGCAATCAAAGGAGACGGACCCGAATACTGTCCCGACCAGCGACGATGTCGTCTATCGGCGAGCCAATAGGCGACCCGGTCGCCGTCGGATTGATTCCTGTCCATTGGACCGAGCGCCACACGACGTGCCCTTTCCATTTCTGTGATTCTTAGACTGATTTTCCTAGCAGGTCTGTGTTGAAGTTCTTGTCAATTGATATTAACTCTTTCAACAT